CCACGCCGACTCCGACGGCGCCCCCGACATCCAGTCCGACGCCATCGCCGACTGAGGCCCCGACGACCAGCCCGACCTCCAGTCCGACCGCGTCCCCGACGACCAGCCCGACGTCTGCGCCAGCGGCGCCGCCCGTCAACAGCGGCCCAATGGTCAGGGGCATCGGCGACCCGCATCTCGCCAACACGCTCGGCCAGAAGTTTGACCTGCTTCAGGCTGGGTGCCACACTTTGGTCCAAATCCCCAGGTGGGAGCTGCATCGGATTAATTTCCTCGTGGAGGCGAGGGCGTGTCGCGCTGGGCGTGGGTGCGCTGATCTGTATTTCACGGATGTCAGCATCAGCGGCGCGTGGGCTCGTCGTCACAGGGCAACGGGCTTGCGTTGGGGCGCCGAGGCTACGAGGCTGGCCAAACCAACATGGATGACCTTCCACAGTGTGGTGGAGGTCGAACAGCCCAGTACACGAAATACCTTAACATCTTCGTGAAGGGGCTGCACAAAACAAAGGTCCCAGTGGGTGGCCTCTTCGGGGAGGACGACCACACGGCGGCCACCACCCCAGACAAGGGTTGCTAACACATGATGACGCTGTCAGTCTTCTCCCGCCCCTGTCCCAAAATGCAGAGTGCTTACGGAACAAGGCTCCAGGAAACTGGCGGGGTCGGCTGTGGTGGAGGGTCGGGGAGGAGGGTGACGGACGGTTTTTTGGGGCTCCAGGAAGCAGGCGGGGTCATTCGGACTCAGGATAAAGAGTGCATGCGCGAACCAAGCATGTTCATCTCTCTTTCGAGTGCCGTGTGGGATAGTTAATGCAGGGGTATTTAGTTGCGTGGCGCTGCAGCCCAGGTTAGCACCGCCCTTCACGCAGCAAGATCAAGCGAGCTGCAGCCCAAGGCAGCAGCTCATGCACAGCACTGGCCGCTGCATTTTTGGCATCTTCTGCGGAGAGCAAGCGAGATAATATCCCCGCGGCAGAGCTATCATAGGGACGGCTTCTTGTTAAACAATCTACAAGCATGCGGCTCCATCTGCCGTGTGCAGCCGCGCTCCGTAGTCAGGTGCACGGCAGTCCTCCGCCTCTCTTTTTCCTCCTTTTCC